GACTCATATGAGTCCTTAAGCTCCTAACACATGTTTTAAGCACGACAGCCTCTGTCTTCATGGCGTGCTAAGTGGTGGTAAAGACTGTTCCTTTACTTCCCAGAGTAGAACACCCTTGCCGCATATGGGTTCATTTTCCTCCAGGACTCCAGGGGTCATATTATTTAAGAAAACACAAAAGTGGGCCTACTTAGCCATGCTTCACCCCAAAACCAAGTTTCACTCCCAGTAAATTATGCTGTCATTCATTTTAGGCTTGGGCTAATTAGGAGAACAATAATTGGTTTCCCATAATTGGTTCCAGCCATAATAGTAATTGTGGAGATGATATAGTGGGCCACATTACCCAGTGTGTTACACCACTTCTGCACTGGTCACACTTCACTAAGCCAATTCCTCAGCTGGTGTTAATCAGCGTAGCTCCATTGAAGTCAGCCGAGTTACAGTCATTCTGACCAGCTGAGCTATATACTGAGGTAAAAACTGTAGTGACATGGTGGCGAATCAGGCCCATGTTCTTGTAGACTTGGCATGATTTTAGTGATCCAAAGAATGTAAGACATCACATTGCAAGACTTGTGTCTAGTCAGCATTCTGTGAACACACATCCAACAGCACTGTGTTGTAAGTATGATTGGACTGGCATGATTTTAAAGAAGCCTTATTGCGGGCACAGGAACAAACTATCCCAATGTGCATAAAGAATAGCAAATATGACAGGCGACCAGCTTGGCTCAACAGTGAAATCTTCGGTGAGCTTAAACTCAGAAAGGAAACTTACAAGAAGTGGAAATTTGGACAGACGACTAGGGAGTAGTATAAAAATATTGCTAGAGCATGCAGGGGTGTAATCAGGAAGGCCAAGGCACAATTGGAGTTGCGGCTAGCAAGGGATGTGAAGAGTATCAAGAAGGGTTTCTACAGGTATGTTAGCAACAAGAAGAAGGTCAGGGAAACTGTGGGACCCTTACTGAATGGGGGAGGCAACCTAGTGACACATGATGTGGAAAAAGCTGAAGTACTCAATGCTTTTTTTGCCCAGACTGTTGCTCTGGGCAACACACTATCGGGAGGAGGTGAGCAGCCCTCAGTGGTGAAAGAACAGGTTAAGGACTATTTAGAAAAGCCTGACATGCACAAGTCCATGGCTCCAGATCTAATGCATCCGAGGGTGCTGAGGGAATTAGCTGATGTGATTGCAAAGCCATTGGCCATTATCTCTGAACATTCGTGGCAATCGGGGGAGGTCCCGGATGATTGGAAAAAGGCAAATATAGTGCCCTATAATTTAAAAAGGGAAGAAAGAGAACCCGGGGAACTACAGACTGGTCAGCCTCACTTCAGTCCCCGGCAGGTCCTCAAGGAATCCATTTCGAAGCACTTGGAGGAGAGGAAGGTGATCAGGAACAGATAACATGGATTCACCAAGGGCAAGTCATGCCTGACCAACCTGATTCCCTTCTATGATGAGATAACTGGCTCTGTGGATATGGGAAAAGTGGTGGATGGGATATATCTTGACTTTAGCAAAGCTTTTGATACAGTCTCCCACAGTATTCTTGCTGGCAAGTTAAAGAAGTATGGATTGGATGAATGGACTATAAGGTGGATAGAAAGCTGGCTAAATTGTTGGGCTCAATAGGTGGTGATCAATGGCTCAATGTCTAGTTGGCAGCTGGTATCAAGCAGAGTGCCCCCAGGGTCGGTCCTGGGGCCGGTTTTGTTCAACATGTTCATTAATTATCTGGATGATGGAATGAATTGCACCCTCAGCAAGTTTGCAGATGACACTAATCTGCGGGGAGAGGTAGATATGCTGGAGGGTAGGGATAGGGTCCAGAGTGACCTAGACAAATTGGAGGATTGGGCCAAAAGAAATCTGATGAGGTTCAACAAGGACAAGTGCAGAGTCTTGCACTTAGGAAGGAAGAATCCCACGCACTGCTACAGGCTGGGGACTGACTGGCTAAGTAGCAGCTCTGAAGAAAAGGACCTAGGGGTTATAGTGGACGAGAAGCTGGATATGAGTCAGCAGTGTGCCCTTGTTGCCAAGAAGGCTAATGGCATATTGGGCTGTATTAGGAGCATTGCCAGCAAATCGAGGGAAGTGATTATTCCCCTCTATTCGGCACTGGTGAGCAACACCTGGAGTACTGCGTCCAGTTCTGGTCCCCCCCACTACAGAAGGGATGTGGAAAAATTGCAGAGTCTAGCGGAGGGCAATGAAAATGATTAGGGGGCTGGGGCACATGACTTACGAGGAGAGGCTGAGGGAACTGGGCTTATTTAGTCCGCAGAAGAGAAGAGTGAGGGGGTATTTGAGAGCAGCCTTCAACTACCTGAAGGGGGGTTCCAAAGGGGATGGAGCTAGGCTGTTCTCAGTGGTAGCAGATGACAGAACAAGGAGTAATGGTCTCAAGTTGCAGTGGGGGAGGTCTAGGTTGGATATTAGGAAACATTATTTCACTAGGAGGGTGGTGAAGCACTGGAATGGGTTACCTAGGGAGGTGGTGGAATCGCCATCCTTAGAGGTTTTTAAGGCCTGGCTTGACAAAGCCCTGGCTGGGATGCTTTAGTTAGTATTGGTCCTGCTTTGAGCAGAGGATTGGATTAGATGACCTCCTGAGGTCCCTTCCAACCCTAATATTCTATGATTCTATGATTTTAGTGATCCAAAGTATATAAGACATCATATTGCAAGGTTTCGGTCTAGTCAGCATTCTGTTAACACATATCCAACAGCATTGTGTTGTAAGTAAGTATCTCCCAGGTTCCTTTGCACTGTTTCCAGCCATATAGCATTCTGGGCAATTTTTACAATACACTGTGCGTTGCCTCCTCACTTCCTCTGTTTCCTAGGACTCATCTGTTGCCTGTGCCATTTTCAAACTCAGAAATCAGACCCTCTGGTATTCTAGCTAAGGTACTCATCTGGCCTCCATTACTGTAGTGTCCAAACACCTCACAATCGTGAATGTATTTTTCCTCACAACACCTGCTATCTAATGGGATTTTCAACCCTGAGCAAGGCACCTAGACTCCCCTGCAATGGGTGGGGAGATTTAGGTGCCTACAGAAGGCTTTTCAGAAGCTGAGGAGAGGAACAGGGAGAAGAGAGGGGCTTCAATGCCTAAGGTTTTGTGAGGAAAATGGCTAAGCAGGTGACCTGATACACCTCACTTATGGTGCTCCACTTGGTGGCCCAAAGGTGGGACCCACTTCCATCTGGAATAGCCTGACTCTATAGGCTGTCTGGGCATTCGATCAAGCCCAACTTCCTCAGCAGGCACTTGGGGAGGGTGCAGATAGTTGGGGGTAGGGATTTCTTTGAGGAATATTGGGAGGCTGGAGATGGCTAGGGGTGATGGGGATTCGTTGAGGTTCCTGGGGGGGATGTGTGTTGGGAGGACTGTGCTGTTCTCTTGTGATGGTTTGTAACCGATGGCCAAAGGTGCCTAGAGACTGAGTTAGGAGCAGCTCCGTGTGTTTGTTTATGATTAAATGAATGAATTAAACATGGTGTTATCTGGTAAAAGGGAGAAAAAAATGGATCCTTCAGAAGTGACAGCTGTACAACAGCCAATAGATAGTCACACAGCTGAGGAGCAGGAGGGCTTATCTCCAGGGAGTGATTGTCAATAGAAAAGATGACATACTGAGGGCAGAGTGGCCAGATAAGAGCAACATCAAAGGGGGTTTGGAGCAATTTCATGGACGCCAGAGCTGCACCCTAAAAATCCCCACATGGTAAATTAATCTTCTTTCCTCCTGATGAAACTGGATAAATGCAAGGACTCTTCCCTCCTCATTCTTCAGAGGAGCATCAGTCTCACTGTCTCTCCGTGCCTCTTCTCTGCAGTGACTCTGTGATCCAGCCAGTCTTCAGCCATGAAGACCCTTTACCTTCTCTTTGCTGTTGCTTGCTTGGTTTTCCATGTCCAGGCCAGTCCCACGCCCGTTCCCGGGGATGTGCCACAAGATGAGCCCAAAAACCTAGATGCTGCGGAGGATGATGGGATAGGAGTGGAAGATGTTGATGTTGTCGAAGGTAAGATGGAGAAAAATATGTTTGCCAGTGGAATATCTGATTACGTGAGAGAACAATATCCATGTTCTGTGGAGAGACTGTTGTAGATAGCTATGTATAAGTGTGTATATGTATGTATGTCTGTGAGTGTGTGTGTGTAAGCAATAACATACAACAAAGTGTGCCTGATACACACATACACACAGATCTGGTGCGTTGGAGGATACAAAGTGGCCAGATATTTCAAAAGAATTTAGTGAGGAGCATGGGCTCTTTTGAAATTTACCGTGGGGACCTGCTGGCTGCTGAGTCACTTGGCTAAACAGCCTGAATTGAGGGTGCTGAGCATTGACAGTCCACCCCTGAGCTCCTCAGAGCTTCCAGGCCCATCAAACTATCACTGGGTTATATTTAAACTGGCTCTGTCACTGCTCGGCAGCTGCTACGCCATCAATCTTCACCTCCGCTGTTGCCCGACTTTCTGTTCCCCATTTTGGGCAGTTTTCTTGAGAGAGAGTCTGATTGGCTTACACAATGTTAGGGGTTGATTTTAAAGTCATTGGTGATGCTCTAGATTGTTTTAAACATGTGACGGAAAAGAAGAAGAACTAAGGGTGGGCCTCTCCTACCCCTCCAAATGTGAACCCAGGTGAACACTGAAGATTTTCCAAATCTGCCCCCAAATCTTCACCTCAATTTTGCAAGTGGCCCCTCTCTTTACACTCAAGTCTCATAATATCTAGGATTTTGGTTTGACCCACTGTAAAGAGAGGGTCCCTATGAACCCGTATGTTGGCTTATCCATAAGGTAGCCATGGAAGAAAGCCTCTGTGTGGGGGGAAGGGCACGGGAGAAGGGAAAGGATTTCATTGAAAAGAGGCTGTAGTTATTTTGTATGTGTTAACATAGGAAGTTATTTGGTTTGATTGTTTAATCCAGAATGGTTTGTCTGTCTCCATGGTGTTACTGGTAGCAGTTGTATGGGTTTATAATTATGACTGATAGTCTGGCTGTAAGGATAATGCTTTCAGACCATTTGTAGCTGACTTACCTGTGCTCAACACCTGCTAAATGGACTGTCTCTCTTGTTCTGAAATTCCCAGATCTCGAATTTATGAATACAAAAGTCACAGAGGTTCTTTTTCTTTCTGCAGATTCCGATGTTCCTGACAGCCCCTTTCAGTGCCTGCAGGCTCGTGGTATTTGCCGACCGCTTCGGTGCCGTAGGAATGAAGGAAACATAGGAATGTGTTTTCGTAGGGTACCTTGTTGTTCAAAATAAAAGTAAAGAATGCACTGAGTGGAGATTGAAGAACTTCAGACAGGGGATTCAGAGCATCCAGACAAAATCTGTCCATATAAATTAACATCAAGCGATTCTGAAATCATGGTCTATAATTATAAACAATTCTTGCACCAGTATTACCGTGTGTGTGTGTGTGTATTTCCCCAAGGGTAACTTATCAGCCTGGGTATTTGGGATATATGGAAACCTGAATAGATTTGCAACTCTGGGTGTAACTGAGGCAGACACATGGGGTCCTCCCATGGAGAGGGAGAAACAATGGAGCTCACAGCTACTTTCCCATTTCTGTACAACAGCAAACTATTGTTACCTCCAGCTTTTCTCCTCAAACTAGCTGCTTTTCTCGACCCATATACTCCTGCTTGCTCCCACCTCTCCCTCACAGCCCTTTACCGTGACCTCTGGAAGAACCATCTCTAGAGGGACTGGTCTTTACGGGAAAAAGTGTTGTGTTAGAAGAGGTGTTAATGTCTGAACAGAGAAGTCAGTGCCGCCTAGTGGCTAGAGCACTGGACTGGACTATAGGAGACCTGGGGTCTATTTCTGGCTCTAGCCTGTTAGGTGACCTTAAGTAAGTCACAGCACTTGTCTCTGCCTCAGTTTCCCCATCTGTAAAATGGGGATAATGATACTGACCTCCTTTGAAAAGTGCTTGGGGTCTACTGATAAAAACTGCTAGATGTAACAGTTAGGCATTATTTGAACTAACAAGTATAGACAGGAACGTTTGTGTTTAAATTCAGATTTAGCCTATGGTGCTTCACCTCCTGTCACATTTTTAATCACGACAGCATTTGTCTTCATGGAGTGCTAAGTGTCAGAAAAGGTGGTTTCTTACTTTCCCAATGTAGGACACCCCTTCCCCTATGGACTGGTTTCCCTCCAGGACTCCCGGGTCCTATTGTTAAAGAAAACAAAAAAGTGGACATTCTTCTCCAAGCTTCATCCCAAAACAAAGTTTCACTCTCAATCGATTGTGCAGTCATTCAGAATAGGTCGTTGTATGCTCGTCTGGGCATCTTGGGCGTGGGCTAATTAGATGAGCAATCATTGGTTCCCCATAATTGGTTCCAATCATAATCACATGAACCACAGTTGGGCTAATTAAATGTAACCAACTACACTCCCTTGCTTAAACAGAAGAGAGATTTAATCATGGAGTAAATACGGTGTTTAATTTGTGACAGGGATTGCCAAGGCTGAGCCCTGGCACCTTTGGGCTTGCCATGTTGGTTATGACAGTAAAATCTCTTCCTTCAGGCTCTGCCTTCCCAGTTTTCTCTTTACCTATCTATTCCCATTGAAATCTTCTTCATTCCTGTCCTCACCCCACTCAACTCTTAGGACTGGTCCTCTCTTCCAGCTCCCTTTTATCCCCCCTTCCACAACATGCTGCATCTTTCCCTTTGCTCCCCCTCTTCTGCTCTGTTCTCTCTCCCATGTTCTGATCATCCCATACTCTCTCTTCCTGCTCTCACCCAAGCCCCATATTCTATTCTCTCTCCAAAAACATCCCCAGAAACCTTCTGCCCTTGGCGGTCCCTTCTCACTCCTCCCTTCTCCCTCTGTTTCTTTGCTATTCTTCCCCAGCCCCATCACTCCATCCTGTGTCCCCAGTCCATCCTTGGCACCCTCCAGCCACAGCCATCCAGCTATCCTCCTGCCCATTTCATGCTTCACACTCCCCAGTACAATCAGTTATCTGCCAACCATTCAGAGGGGATGTCTTTGTATGGCCGAGGGGAGAATGGAAAATCCCACCATTCACTGAGCTGGTCCATTGTCACGGGCATACATGTCTTAGTATCCCTGTACAGTCTATGGGGTACTATTACTGTGCTTTGTTGGCAATAAACCTGGCCAATCTCCATCACTACTGAACTGAGTCTGTGGTCTTCTTAGCTTGTACAGCAGACTTTGACTCATCTGGCCAGAGTCAGTGCAGCACGGAGAGAGAACATACTTGCAGCTAATGACTAACAACAGTAGCTACACTGCTATTTTTAGAGCGGTATATCAATCACAGGCCCTTTGCGTATGTAGAGCTGGAAATTACACATCCAGCTTTCTGGTGGATATACCCTCAGACATCCAACAACTAACCACAAAAGGGACAAACCACATGTAGTTATCTTGTCTTATACTTAGATTGTCAACTCTTTGAGACATGGACTGTCTTTTTGTTCTGTCTTTGTGCAGCACCTAGCACAATGGGGCCCTGGTCCTTGAGTGGGGCTCCTAGGTGCTATGATAATAATAATATTCCTAAGGGTATGAATGAGCAACCCATAAGAACATAAGAATGGCCCTACTGGGTCAGACCAAAGGTCCATCTAGCCCAGTATCCTGTCTTCCGACATGGGCCAATGCCCAGTGCCCCAGAGGGAATGAACAGAACAGAACAGGTAATCCCCAAGTGATCCATCCCCTGTCGCTCATTCCCAGCTTCTGGCAAACAGAGGCTAGGGACACCCAAGAACATGTGAGGACTGCAAGACATCATGATCAGTGACCTCCAGAAGATAGCGCTTTTAGGCACTGAGAGAATTGTAAGGAAAGTCAAAGGAGAATGAGTTCATTAGAGCACCTAAGATTCAGGAATTCTGCAGCAGCTTTAACAAAACTCCCGACTATCCAAATCTATAGAGTCAGTTCATGGTCACGATTTATTGGCGACTCGTGGGAATTTTAGACAGTAGCTTTCCCCTTTTTATGCTTAAAGATCTTGCACATTGTGAAGGCTATCTGAAAAAATCTCCATGATGCAACACTGGGGGATAATAATATACTAATAAAAACAGCACACACACTGATATCACTGAAAATGATTGACATTTGAACTATGAATTACAACTCTTCGGCTACTACAAACTACTTTCTGGATTCTGGATTTCTTCAGTTCTCATGCTGTGGTGTCTTTAAGACCTTTTCCTGCAGCAAGACACCCCTCTGGAACACCACCCAATTGTGGTCTCCTTCCAGGAGCAGCCACAGATTTGGAAAACACCCAGTGCCCTTCTACAAAGCCTTGGTTCTCCTAGTGGTATCAGATTTGCACAAAGGAAAGATTATGAACACTCATTTAATTACAATTGAAAAAAAATAAAGGCAAAGAGACCCAGTCATATTTCAGGTAAACAGTCATGATGAAAATTGCCACAGCTATTTCATTAATGGCATGGCCCTGTGAACACGTAAATATAATGGCCAAATTCTTCTATCAGTTGTGCCAATGTAAACCTGGAGTATCCCCAATGATGTCAGTGAAGTATCCCTTTAAATAGTTTGTGAATCTTCTAGTGACGCTCACTGACTTTTGTGCTTTAGAAGCTGCCAGCAACCACCCAGAGCAGCAGTATGTATGTAGCTAGGCCACACATGTTTGTGTATATTTAGCAAAGATGGTTAGATGGGACCCCACTGTGCCCTGTGGTTTCTTCAGATAGTTTTCTTGTGTGAAGCGCACAAAACTAACAATGCTCCACACTAAATTATAACCTTTAAAAAATAAATCTCTGGCTATTTCTATTGGATTTAATAATCAAAGCTCACTGTTGTTTGTGCAGGAAGTTTTAGGAAATGTACAGGTCATTACTATAGACTCTCTGTTTAGAGAACCATCGTGCAGTGCTATATTCAGCCTATTTTTCTATTTGCCAAGGAATAGCCATGTCTGTTACAGGACAAACTCCCTTGCAGCACCCAGGAAACGTTGCCTCTGGGGATTTTCTGAGAATGTTGCTGAAAAAAAAAGTTGTGTTTACTCAGAGCTTTCTGTCAAGCTTATTAATAGTCAAAAATATGTTCAGATGCAATGTTTTTTGTGAGTGAGTGTGATCTGTCTGACTATTGAATCAATGTAACCAATAACCAAGTACCTCCTTGTCCTCTAGTTATTTTGCTAGCTTCGTACCTGATACAATAATTTTTCCAAAGCTGTCAGCTCTCATTTTTTAACCATTCCTCCAATTTGGGGCTGCTCTTCCAGTGAGAGACTTCCAATAGTCTCGATAGCAGCTACTAGCAAATGAGAGATTCATTCTTCAGGTCTTTGCACGTGACCATTTCCACTGGGAAGCCCTAGGACAACTTGCCAAATGACCATTCAGCAATAAAAATTTAACAATTGGTAATATATGGTTACAAATCACGGCCTGATACTCTTTAAAAGCCAGACGTGTCCCCTGTATATGAAAGAAGTCACCTCTTTCACCACAATTTCTCCAACAGTTCTCCCTATTCTGTTTCTATATCATTTTTAGTGTAAATGCTATCTTAAAGGGATTTTCTTTTATTCTGTCTACCTCCCGGAGGGTTTTACACTATTGACCATCACCATAGTATCTGGGTGCCTTCTTTGTTGTGCTACAAACACACCAGAGTTGTCTGGGCATCAGGTATAACTTTGTATCGTATTATCAGATCCAATATTGTATTCCTTCTAACTATTGCCCAGGACCAAGGAATATCTTTTCCATTAATACATTATGTTCATATCTAGTGTGCATCTTACCTGGACATGACACGTTAGCAGCAGCAGCATCCTCTGCCGTGACCTCATCTTGGGCGTCTCCTACTATCTAGTCTAGAGCTTGTGCCTGGGACTCATTCTTTGCCATGGCCATGGCCTCATTCTGGGTCTGGAAAACCCAAGAAGACAAAAGCTAACAGAAAATAAAGGATCATCATAGCCAAACTTTGGGTGGGATCCCAGTGAACCTGCAGAGACAAGAGAGCCAACAGCAGAGTAAGGATTTTTAAGGGGATGGAGATTCCGTATATTTAGATGCAGGATCGTGCAGGGGATTTTGGACTGTTTCAGATATAGTTCAGAGGCAATTAAGCTGCTCCATGCTCCCTTTGATGTTGCTTTGATCCTCGGACCGATCCTATTCAACTTATTCATAAATGATCTGGAGAAAGGGGTAAACAGTGAGGTGGCAAAGTTTGCAGATGATACTAAACTGCTAAAGATAGTTAAGTCCAAAGCAGACTGTGAAGAACTTCAAAAAGATCTCAGAAAACTAAGTGATTGGGCAACAAAATGGCAAATGAAATTTAATGTGGATAAATGTAAAGTAATGCACGTTGGAAAAAATAACCCCAACTATACAGA